ATATAACAAACCCACTGTATTCTGTGGTAGTTACAGTTATCGTCCCATTTGTTCCAGGTTTATTAGTTACAGCTCTGACATGAAACTGATAAGTCACTCCACCCAACACATCAACTGTGTGACTCAATGCATCTTTGTCTAATCCAGATTCCTCTCTTGCCGCACCTCCGTGGTGACTATAAAACACAGTGTATCTTCTAATGACTCCATTTGGTTTTGCAGGCCTGCTCCAGGACAAGGTTATTCTAGGACCATGTAAATTGCTAGGTGGTACATCAACAAAAGACAAAGACGTAGGTGCACTGGGAGCTGGAAAAACAAATATATTGTGCTTATTACTAGAAGTATGATACAGAGATTCGCTACATGCATATTCATTAAAGCATGTTGTATTGTGTTGTAGATTGTAATATAAGAATGTACTTCTCCCCCATTTAGGTGTGGTATTGGCTTTTTCATAGGGACAATCCAAGAACTGGATTAAAATCAAGCTCATCTGGGCAACTGAACAACTCAAGTCATGAAAGCAAACTTCTAAGAGCTGATTATTCGCAAGGCATGTCGAAGAAGGAGACTTTTTAATACCGGCCGGAAGTCCAAACTTGAAAGCCAACGCCCTAAATCAATCATTAACATCGCCATTATGTCAGAGGGTATTATTGAAACGATTATTGAAATGTTAGTTAAAGCACTTCCGATTCTCACCATCTTCCATTGTTGTTGTGAAAACAGAAGAGGTGTTCGGTCCATTACCAACAGAGGTGAAGGCCAACACTTGAAATTCATATTTAGTGTATTTGTCAAGGTTGGTGACTCTTTTTGATGTGTTTCCATTGTCAATAGTCAAGGAGGTTGCTAAACCTAAGTCTTTCTTTTTATAGAACAGTTTATATCCTCTGATGATACCATGTCTGGAGTCCTCTGGTGGTAAATGCCATGAGGCTGTAATACTGGTTGAAGAGTTCACAGTGACACTGAACCGAGAGGGAGGTCCTGAAGGAGCTGCAATAGAGCAGTCATATTTTAATTAGCATTTTAATAAATGAATCAGAGTCAGTGTCATTTTCCTTGACACTATC